AGCGGGGCGCGCGGGCGGGCGCCGGGCGGGGCGCGGGCGGGGGACGTCTAAGGCGCGGGGGCGTGGCGCGGGGTGGTGAGGGACGGCGGGCGTCCGTAGGGCCTCCGTGGGGCCGAACGGAAGAAATGAGGCGGGGTGTTGAACGGTGGCGACGGTGTAGTGGAGGCCCGAGGGCGGAATACCGAAGGGAATGGCGCGGAGGACGTCGGCGGACGCGAGGCGGCGGGCGCGCGGGGACGCGGGGGCGGGCGAACGCTACGACTCACTGCCTGGCCTAATGCGTGCAAGGAAATGTCACGATAAGCAACGAGATCGTAACGCGCTCAGGAGACGGCCCGGGGCTTGCGCGTTTGTTACATTAACAGCATTGCCAACGGCTAGGGCTATTGAAGCTCCTCCTTTTACAGCTCCAACGAAACACATTCCAATTTTGTCGCAGATAAGAACGAAATATCGCGCTGGCGCCGCGGCAACTTCTTATTTAATTGCCGTCTAAGTAAAACTCGGAGGGGAGCGCGTCGGGTCGTAGTCCGCCTCGAGACAATCGGCGTGGGGCGGGCGCGGGGGCGGTGCGGAGACGGGAGCGGCCGCTCGCGCGCGCGTGTGCGGGGGTGGAGCGCCAAGGTGCACCCCTCCGACTGCGCCCTCATCGCGCATAAAGGTGCTCATTGTCCTGCGCTCAGTACGGGCCCCTCTGCTTCCCGACGCTGCAAACGGTCTTTGCGGGCGTGGCGCCCCAGCGGCCCGTAAGGAAATTTTATCTGCGCCTGGCTTTGGGAGGTGGCTTGGTGGTAAGAGTTCCATTGGAATGGAGATGGCTCAAGATTATGTTTTGCCTGGGTAATGTGACCTTCTTCTGAAAGAAACCTTTCTCTGAGGATAAAAAGTCAATGCATATTTAGAAATACGATTTGTTCTGTGTTCTTTGAATGCTGTATTCTTACCAAATCGCAAAATATAATACATAATAAGTAAAAAACGGGAGTAATGATAAGAATGTCACATGTTAATGAAGTAATAATTTCAGTCACCATTAGATCAGTTTGATTCTTTTTCTCTTTTTATGTTATCTCAAAAGAACTTTTTGCAATATAATAACTTTTTGGAATATTAATAATAAATATAATATAATAATAATAATAATAATAATAATAATAATAATAATAATGGAACCATTTTTGTGTAGGAGTACCACTAGATATCACAATTCCAGACATTGGGGACCTTCGATAATTAAATCTTGTATGCTGTTTTCATTAGAAGTGCAATCATTTCTTAAGAACACGAAATGCCGCGCATTAAATTTCTCTCGTTTCGATATTTGTCTCCTCATAATTCAATAATACATATTTGATATCAACTGATTGTGAGACAATGTTTTGACAAGAAAGGTTGAAGAATTTTTCTATTTTATTTAGTATAATAGTCTGTCTGCTACTTTTTCAATGAGCTTAATTCACCAACCACATGTCTCGTTATTCACTCTGATACCCTACGTTATTCACGAATAAAGTTTCATGAACAATAAAAAATAAAATTATTGTTTACATGTGTTATGTCACTTTAAAGTTGCTCTTATTATTGGTATCACCGCATGCTTACATATTTAGTTTGTTTATTCAATGAGAAAAATTGGTTAGTTATTTCGACACGTTACACTCCCCTTGTTAGCACACAGAATTACTTCATTGTGATTAATTGTATGTTCGTGATTTTTATCTAAATATTTTATGGTTACTGTGCCCATTAATAGAGTTCTTTGGAGGTATTCATAATATACATGAAAATCATGTGAGTCTAAGATCGTTTAATGACAAAAAATAATGTATTTATTTAATTATGTATAATATGTAATTATTATTTTATGGATTCATGCCTTAACTGTTTTTATTAAATTTTAAATATATTGTTTGCTCCTTCCGAACTTCAGTTTAAATTACTTGAATTGTGTATTGACGTAAAGAACTATTATCATTATAATCGAGTTTATTTATTTATCTATCAAATACTTGCAAAATATACTGAGATATTGGTGGAATAGGATTACTTTCTGAATGGAGAAGAGAAGTAAATAGAGACGTTTCTCACATGTCAGCTCAAATTTGATTGTTTATATTGAATTTTTCAAATACAGTATTGAAAATATTTTACTGGAGGGATATACTAGAATGTAACTTGACAATGTTGTTTACGAGAATGGTGTTACAATGTCGATTATTTTACATGATATCTAACATCTCTTCCATACATATTGATTTTTACCTGATATATACATTGAAACATTATTTTTTTTAATATAATAAAAAGTGGTTAGTAATTAACCTGCTGCGTGCCTTCCAAGATGCACCATTGACTCTGAAACCTAACAGTGCACTCGTGTTTGGACGCGTGTCACCTGCTGCGTGGTCGCGAATGAATCGCCCCTGGGGGGGGAGGCGAACGTGACGCGTGCGTGGCCTGTGGGGCGTACGTAAGGAGAAGTGGACGCACGTGCTTCCTCGGGGCAGCTCTCGTCTCGGCTCCCCCCGCGGAAGCTGCTGGGCAAGGGGGGAGTCGAACTCACCTGTCGCTACTCACCTGCGTCTTCAGCCCAGAGCTCCTTCAAAAAAACAGGTTGTTGCTTCAACAGCAGAGTTTTTCCGGGTACAAATCTTGCAGGTGTATGCTCTTGAATTTAAGTCTTTTTAAGTTCTGTTCTCTTAAAAGATAACTTAATTTTTCCCGGAAATTGGGAATGAATTTATATTGTGGATTTTTTTATTTTATTAACAAAATCTTTATGACATTAAGGACTGCAACAAATAATTTTGATTAAAATTTTTTTTAAAATTAAATTACAAATGCTTCACATCTGTCACTCAAAACTTGTTTGTTTTTGTATTATTCAGCATCGGTGAAAAGTTTCCCATTTACATGCAAGTGCGCATACTTTATTACGTAAGGTTATCATATCGTTTTTTTAGAGGCCTGAAAAATAATTTCAATTTGTTAGGTTGTGAAAATCTTCGCACAAGGTAAATGGGCCTCTTTGCCAAGAATGCAATAATGAAGTGATAAGGTGGTCCTTTTTTCTAATAGTTACTGTAAATTTAAGACATGAAAAGAAGGAAAGAAAGAAATAATGATAAAAAATTGTGTACTTCAACAATCTATTGAACTTGTTAATTATTACTTTTGAACGCTTTTTATTCTTTACGGGACTGTTACGTGAGTATCTAAGACAATGAAAAACACTGATCAGTCAGACTGACAGAATCATTTTATTGATATATTTGTATTTCTTGTACAATGGGAAAAATATAGAGCTTAACTATGAAACAATTCTTTGAATTTTAGATTTTTTGTAAACAGCCATTCACAAGTTTTTAAACCACATTTCTAAAACAAGGAACACATTTTTAAATAAAGGAAATGATCACAAATAAGGATTTAAGAAAATATTTACTCCTATTTACAAGGCTTTTTTTAGTTTTTTATGCAAGTATGTGTTGAAACACATCTAGTTCGTCTAATGTATTCAACATTTTTGCAGTCATTACATTCACTTCCATCTTTAGATTATATGATTATCTTTCTTTTTACCCCCTCTCACAGCATTGTTTCGCTATCCTCACTTTTAAATCTGACCATGTCCAATTTTCTTTCCTTCCTATTACGTATAGTACCTCATATTAATTTTTACTTTTCTTGAGAATTTCTGTCTTTACTCTGTATCCGCTAGTTACACGCACTTTCTTCTCTCGTCTACGTCGTGTACACTGCCCTCTCATCTACCCCCCCAATTCTTGCGGCTTTGGTTCCGTCGGCCTTGGAGGCGAAGAAGCGGCTTCTTTGCAGCGTTCGATTTGGTGCTGCGGCGCGGCGCCTAGGCTGCGGGGGCGAGCCGAGCGGGGGGCGGGAGCGGGAGCGGATGCGGTTCGGGGACCAGGCAGCGCGCGGGGACGGCGGCGAAGGCGGATGCGGGGGCGGGGCCGGGGCCGCCGCGAGCCGTGGCGTCAGGGCACGACGCAGCGGGGGTGGAGCGCGGAGGGCGAAGGGCGACTGGCAATACGTGGCTCCGCTACGGAGCGAGAGCGGTGTAGGGAAAGGGGCGGGGCGGGGCGAGACGCAGGGCACGGCACGGCGGGGCGCGGGAGCGGGCACGCAAGACCCGATGCTGCCACGGCAATATCGCGCTGTAATTAAAATCAGGCGCCTAATTACGCTTTCAAGACTTTTCTGTTTTCTCATCAGGGCTTCAACGTGCCTCTGGCGCCCGCGTTCTCTTTCGGCTCCGTCTTCTTCCTCCTCTCCTGCTTCTTGCTCGTTTTCTTCTTCTGTTTCTTCGCGCCGCCCTCCGCCGCCCCAGGAAGGACGGCCCCTCGCGAGTCAGCCCCAGAAGAACGGGATCAATTTATTGGGCTGTTACGAAGCTGCGTCACGGCGGCGGGTGGGGCGGTCGGGCGGCCGCCGGGTCTGGAGATTATTCCTGCGCTGCTGTATAATGCTGCGTTGGGGAAATGATTAAAAAGAAATGGCGGACTGGGGGGCTGTTCCACTGATGACTAGTTTTCTCCATTCCGAAGGGATTCTGAAACAGAGAATAATTGCTGTACATTGTTGTGTGATGCAGCATTGATATCAGAATACAATTTTTGACGGGAGAAGTGCCAGCAAGAACTGTATTATATTTCCATATTGATCGTATTTTCGCAGATATGAGCAATGTAAATTTACATAGTAAGATATACTTTCGTAGTATCAAGATAAGTCTTCTCATATGATTTCTAAGATGAAGTAATGGAAACATATTTTCTCGGAAATGAGATGCTCAGAATCAAAAGATGAGACTCAGAGCAGAACGTTTTTAAATTTTTGTCGAAACAAAAATGATTTTGCATTGAAACCTACATTTTACTTAGCTCTTGATATAACTTTTCATAGTTCTTCATCTTTTCATGAGTTTCTAATTAACAGATTTCTCCCACTTAACTGAGTAAACGTGTTTTAAATTTAACTCTGTAATTCCCAGTTCTATAAATGGTGAAATTTGTTAACGTAATTGTAAATGTGAATTTAATGACAGTAAGAAATCACAAATAAATCAAACATTTTGGCATACATAAATGTATAAAAGTATTTCAATTTTGAGGTCACCTGTAGGTGAGACCGGGACTTGCCATACAAGAAATGCGAACGTGATGCCTTGCTGCATGGTATGGTTGAATGTGACAAAAAGTATTACACTTAGCAATGTGCCTAAATATTGATAACTTTGTTACTTCACTGCATGTCAACAGTATGCAGAGTTATCCAACGAATCACTGTTACCATTTGAGGCGCACTAATGTGGCTACTAACAAGTATTTTTATGGCAGTTTTTCAAACTACATATTGCACATTCTGCTATATTGAAAAGACAAGGCTCAAACCAAAAACTTGCTTATTTTAATTTGTAATGACATAAGGAATAAGCAGAATGCTTATCAGGCTGATCAGGCTCAAAATTTACGATAACGCTAAATGTAAAACTATACTAGAACGGCACTCATAATTGCAAGTTTCTTCTAAAATAATAATTCAATAACTTGCAATTATAATATTGTTCAGTATTGTTGCCCCATATGAAGAAATGAACAAACCTAGCAAACGTTAGGGAGGAAATTCACGCTTAGTGCTCCACAAATAACCCATAATTTTAGTCAGAAAAAAAATTACACTCATCTGACTAATGCAAGTGAGTGAAGTGAAGTTTAATATTTCCTAGTAAAATCCTCTATACTCAGAATATTAGTAATTAATTTACACATAAATAATTATAAGGATTGCGTTTTCTTTTCAGTTTTTATACAGTACTTATCTAATCAAAGGTGCTATAAGGTTTTGTACACGCAAAGTTTTCGAAGAAGGTTGCAAGAGGCAAGTACTAAGAACTCTCGAACTGTTACATTAGGTTACCGTTTCTGTGATGAAGGAAAAACCAATTAATATGCGAGTACTCCCGAAACGAGATCATATTAATAACGGAGAAGATTTTTGAGAATGGTTGATGCACTGCTGAGGAAAAGAATTTGCGAACCTTACGATTACACACTCAAAATTATTCTCAAAATAGAAATAGAAATAATAAATTCCTAAATAATATGTGACAAATTAAAAATTGATGGAAGTTTTGGAAGATGTTATTGACATTGTTCTTGTTTTACTAAAAAACTAACATCTTTTCATTCCTCAATTTTGAGATATTTCTCATTGATACAGACGCGTGCATTTTACATTATAAATTCATGAAAATAAATTTTTAGTTTCATTCAAGAAAGAAATATAGAGTTAGATATATTGATATTGCATTTTCAAATAAATATGGAATCGTTAATGTAAAATTATCATATTTGACCGTTCATGTAGACTTTTTGGTCTGAGAACGGTGATTAAAAATTTTTTTCTGAACATGATTATAATTTTTTATATTGGTAGAATTAACTGTATACGACGATTTTAATTTTATTATCGATGCTTTAAATATAATGTTCGAAACAAGTTTGCACTTTTCAATCTGTTTTTCTCACGATTCAGTATGCATGTGGAAAAGGACGTCCTGTAAGAAAATTATAAAAAATAGTACAAAAGATCGCACATGATCAGATAAATCGCGCACTCATTTGGAGGTTAATTGAACAGATTTCATTTTAGTGTTCGTTAATTTTGTCTACATTCATTTCATCATTCATCATATATACCGTGAATTAAAATAACGAATGAATTTTCCTATACTCAATTTGTTCCACACAAAACTCGCATCAATTTATAATTTTTCGGTTTACTACCAACGTAACATTTATCTTAGATAATTTTTATAGATTCAAAAGAATCAAACCTACTATGCAGGAATTACTATTTCAAGTTTCTATACTTGCGACGTGGTAATATAAGTTTCCCTTCAATTAAATTTCTTTGATGGAAATATTTATTTACTTTCATGTAAGGAAATTATGAAATCTTACATAAAAGTTATGGTGTAAATAATGGTTCAAAAGTGACAGAAGTTTTTTTCTATTTTTGGAAATTCTTTGAGCTGTGCACATACAAGTGTTTGTCAATTTTCATTACATTGATTAACAATGACTCGTGTAATGAAATAAACACAAAACAAAATTGAACCATTGTTTAGTATGTATGTTTACAAACAATGAAATAGTTACCAAATCGGCGTTCAAAATATTTAATGGACGATAAATACACGTTCGTAAATAACTACCGAATTCTACAACAACCTGTCCCTTGCACTCTCCCAAGGTGGTGTCTGTACACTAATCTAATTACAATTGATCTTCATTTTAGAAACATATGCGGATAAATGTATATTCCGGCACACAACATAAATGTTTCTGGTTATTAATATTTTCTTTTCGTATATTTTCGTAACTTCACTTTACTCAAGAAAGAAAACTAGCTTGTCGATGTACGGGGACCTTACACTATTCCATGTTCCATTGAATAATATCACCAACTTCCATTTGTTTGCGTACAGTAGTTGTATCTTGACTTACAGAAGTGCATTATTAATATTTTTTTGTATCTAATCCTAGACAACATTAGATACCTAAACAACGCCAGATTTTCATTAATTATATAAAAAAATGACCTTTTCACCGTATGATGTGTGCAAGAGTATTTTAAAATAGGTCACGCTAATTTTTAGAAGAAAGCAATTCTTACTTTGGATATATCAATAAAATATGTTTTACTTTATGTATATGTAAAACACTCATCTGGATTTTTGTAATCTCTGCCCCCTTTGATCGCAATCAACAATGAGATGAGCCCTAGATTCAACTGCGCAATGTCATTCTTATTGTCATTGCTCTGTGTATTGTTGCAATTGCTATTGTTGGAATCATTATAATGAATACATTTTACATAAATGGAAATGTTCAATTCTTTACATTCATCTATCTCACAAATTAAACTGGATTTTAAAGAAATTATTCTAGAATAGCTTCCTCTATTTTGTTACAAAGCATATATCCTGCGATTCAGGTATATATCGAATGTATCCAATACGTTAAATAATACTGAACGTTCCCAAGAACAAAACATAAATGTCTTTATAAATTAATGCCCATTGCCGTACTATTCTAGAACAAAAAAATATTTATTACACTTCTAAAGAAATATAAAAAAAAATTAAAAATGCCTTTTTTCTCTCCACTAAAGACGCTTTGACTCATATTATTGGGATTTTCATCAGGTATTATCCTAGAATACAATAACATGAACTGCGCACAACGCAAAATGATTACGCAAAACCTTAAGCAAAACATTAATATTAGATTGCACATCATAAATTTCCTTCCATTATCCCTAGGTGTCCCTAACCACCTTCCATGAGATGTATATGAAGCAGTGAATCACCCTCCATAGTGCTCGTCCTTGTGCTGTTCTACTGTCTATAAACAACTTGCGCACTGACGGATTTCACGTGATTTACGCCCGCCCGGAGAAATCGATTGCGCAGTGCAACGCCCACGGCCGAGCGCAAGCGCATATTACGGAGCGCAAGGGGGCGACGGAGGCGCGCAAATTAGAAATACAGCCTCTGGTTTCCACGCCCCGAGGCAAACGTGAAAATAATTTCCCTTCTTCACAAAATATTTTAACTTTCCTTTTGTGGAGATAAAATACAGGACGGCGGTTCCATTAGCGACCACAATGGAACAAGCAGATACATAACATAGGCTCTTGCTATCATATTCTATTTAAAGCTGCTTTCCCTAAATTACTCGACTGGGCGTTATTACTGCTCCATTTTTCACGCCGTCCGTTTTGTTTCAATTATTTGTTTTAATCCTTTTGCCTGGGCGCAGAAACGAGAAAGGAGAAAATGGGCTGACCGCAGTCGCTGTTTGTGATGTGTGAACGCGGTTATCCGTTTCCTCCTTACGAATTGGTTACGGAGGAATCTGATTTGAACATACTCGATAACTATCAAAACTATCAGCACGGAAATGAAATTTATAATTTTGTCTCTCTCAACAATAAAACGAAATTCGATGCAAACAACCACATACAGAATTCTCATGTAACATACTTTTATTAACATTTCAGTGCTACTTCTACTTTATAATAATTTTATTAAATGATTTACTTAGAAATCTCCTTAGGAACCTTAGAATGAGAATCTTTAGAAATATATTTCCTTAGAATCTTTTTTTTATTTTCTTTTGAAAATAAACTCCACTAAATGTACTAAATCAAATCGATGTTATTTATAAAATTTGCTCTGTAATTCTACTTTTTACAATACTTGGTGAAGTACTTTGCGTTGTCCGGGAATTTATTATTCATCTGATTAATATACACCAGGGCACCGCAATGCAGCTATTAGACAAGAAAAGGAATGAATTCTGTTGAACGGTGTATCCCGTCTTACCCTTTTTAACCTGCCCCGCCCCACTGGGGCCTGTGGTCATGTCCCGCCATTCTTTTTCTGCCTTGACCAAGCCGCCCAGCCCACCCTCTCCCTCCTAACCCTGCCCCGCCACGCTTGACCCTTCCTTATGTGGACCAACATGGCCCGCGCCGCCCTGT